CCCCCCCCACTCACCCTCGCTGTCCGCGTGGATTACGTCGGCGTTGATCGGAACGGTCGACGACCACCGGTCGGCGCAAAAAAGGCATGGAAAAAACGACGACTAATTTTACGACAATACACACGTGCGCGCTCACGTTACGTCTGAGAAATGCGCGTGCTATCACGAAGTAACGATCCCTCGCAACGGGTAGCGCGCCGAGGGAACGCAATTTATCGCATCTCTCCGCGGGGATGGTAGCCGCGGAGGATGCGCACCGTATGGTAGAGGGAGGGGGGAGGGGGAGGGGAAGGAGATTGAACGTCAAAAATACAGCCGGCGCTCCGGCAGGATGCCGCCGCGAGATCTTCTATATCTTTATATATACGAGCCAGGAAGAGTGGTCGCGAGCGTGAATGTAAATGAAATGGAAATTCCTTCCCCCGGCGCGCTGAAATGGCACACCGGGGAAAATCGCGTGGTTCGCGCGACGCGTACGGATATAAGTGCCGTCGAGCCGGTGGAAGTCATCGCGAGCGGAAGGAATCTCATGCCAGCCCTCCCGTCTCTCTCTGTTTTTTATTGCGCGACCGCAGCCGATCGCAGACCGAGTCGAATCGGGGAATGCGACATGTCGTCTCCCTTACGATTTCAGTTACAAAAACCGCGCGAAGGCTGAGGGTGGTTTCTTTTAACTTTATTCGCAGGCAGAAGCATTAGTATCAATTAAAGTCTCATGTTTTTCATACACGAGCAAGAATTTATAGTCTTATGTAAGAATAAAATTTTCTCACACGAATGAAGGAATTCTATATTCAGGGTTTACCGAAAAAGTGTGGAAATCTCGAATTATTTCGGAAACTACGCATTTTCGAAAAATTGTTCCGCACAAAAGTTGTAGGGCTTTAACGCATTACACAGCAGCGTTAGTGCAACCTTGAATAGCGTTGTCAAGGTCATGAAGGTGATCTTTAAATTTTTCAACGGAAGTCCCTTTTTTTTATTGCACAGTCATGTAGCTTATTTCGAGAGCTTCTCGAAACTAAAATAATATATTTTTTTATTCTGCTTATTTAAAATTCTGCTATCAGAAAGATAAATAGATCGATAGATAGATAGATAGATAGATAGATAGATAGAGAGAGAGAGAGAGAGAGAGAGAGAGAGAGAGAGAGAGAGAGAGTCTTCTCTGTTTCGCTAATAGAAATCAATTTCCCGCTCATTACCGCACGACGGTTACGCAGCTGGAAATTGACGTCGGCAATTCTACCGGATATTCATTGATTAGCCTAATCGGAGTTTGTCGGGAATCATCCCGACGATAATGAAGAGAGAGAAAGAAAGATCCGAGAGAGCCGGGTGCTACGCGTCGCGGGAAGGTACCGAGGGGTACGACGGATGAAATCGTCGCGAAAAATTAATGCCGGAGAGAGAGCGAAGATCAAATAAAATTTGCGGCCGGTGCAGAACCGGCGGGTTTACGGTCCTCTCGAAGGGGGAGGAGACCGGTCGTTGCCGAGACGTAAAGATATGGAAATGCGAAGCCCCGAAGCGCGGGGGAGGAGGGTGAGAAAGACAGCGGCGGATGGAGAGAGCACGGCGTGCTGAAAGAGCCCGGTGTCGCGTCCGTTGCTCCTTTTGCCCGCAGGACTCTCTTCGTATCGCGTGACAGTGTCCTGCTGCATCGACCTCGTGCAGTACGCCACGTTACGGCCAGGAAAGGTGGCCAGGATTGTAACCGGAGACACACCGGGGGCCCTCCACGCCCTCCCCCGTCGTTGTATCCCCGTAAATGCCGCGAGATATCCTCGGCCGGTTGCTAGGTGGGTGTGAAACGTAAAGCCGGCGCGGATCTCACCGGGGCTCCAGCGGGGCCGATGCACCGCAGATTGCGAGTATCCTTGCTGAGGTCGAACGAGAGGAGGCTCCGCCGAAGGTCGTTGCCTGCTCGATATACCCGGTGCTCGTCTAGGAATCCGCAGCATCAGCGGTCCCTCCCCCTCTCTCTCTCTCTCTCTCTCTCTCTTTCTTTCTCTCTCCCTCACCATTCGTCGGAGGATCTCAGCATTCTCGGCGAACCCGCGGCCCCCGTATTATCCGTGGAGGAGGACGAAGATTTGAGAGAAGCGGGATTGCGCTCTCTGCCAATTATTAATAATCGCCCGCTCCTCCCCTCTCCCACCCCCTCGCGAACCTCTGGATAAAGCGCGGAATTTACGTCGTCACACGCGCGTTTCTACGGTTTAAATACAGCCCATTAACTCGGCGTTACGCCGCGTTAGATCGCCGACACGGCCGATGATCGCGATATTCGGCGTAAATTCCAGCTTTTTCGAGGAAAGGAGTACGATGAGTAATTTTATATGCAAATATATCGCGTCGGTGCGATTCATATGCCCGTGCGTAAGTGTATATGGGAATGTGGGTGAGTGTGTGCGTGCATGCACGATAACAGTGGATTACGCATTACAGGCGTATGCACGCGCGCGGCACTGCCGAGCGCGAAATTAATATTATCGTATCATCGGATTACTCACCGAATATCGTCGGCGCGACTGATTGCCGACGAGAGCGAGCTCCACTCGAGCACCCTCGCCGAGGACGCGATCGGCCACTAAGTACGATGATTACCCGACTGATTACATTCATTGTCCGCGGAAATGGCGAGCGAACTCTTTGATCACGGGCAACCCTCATTAGCGATTATCGCCGGTATTAATGATGATCGTCGTTCGCCGTCGGACGACTACTGAAATCGGAACTCGCCGGCGAATATCCGAATTCGTCGCTTCCGCTCATGGCTCGAATGTCCGACGACGGCACGGCGAGAGAATAGGAGGAAAGTCTGTGTTAAGTGCGAGGAAAAACATGAGTTAAAATCGTAAATGTGTTTTAGAGGATGTTAAAAATCGGACATGGTGTTAACCTCAAGAAGGTATAAAATATGTCATCTTCAGTCGCGAAGTATCTCGGCTTCCGAATGGTCAGTTGTTTCCTAACTTTGCAGACACGTAGACGGTATTTCTATCAATGGTAGCTAAAAGTTCAAAGGATTTCTAAGAAAACGGTTTGAAGGACCAATTGCCTTAAGTACCGACGAATCGTTCGACGACGGGCAAGAATTTGGTGGGAATAATTGAAGAGCGATTAAGGATCAGAGAGAAAGGGAGACACAGGAAAGAAAAAGGAAGAAAGAGGGTAAGTGAAAGAAAGAGAGAGAGAGAGAGAGAATGCGTAATTGTTCGGAGAAGAGACTTCCACGTCGCGTAACGAGAATGTGTCTCAGAAGAACTCGCGCGTTCGGAGTGAATCCTCGGCGGAGGAAACGGCGGGAATGTAAATTTATGTGCAGGTATTCCCTTTCCGAGTGTCTCGTCCGAGCGAGACGGATTCGATGCGCGCGAGAGAGGAGAGAAGGAGCAGAGCGCTGAAGCAGCGGTCCGGTTTTTGCCGGCGGAGTGCAAGGACAGAGACGACGACGTCGGCGGACTGTTGCCGCTGCAGCAACAACGCCGAGAGGGCCCCGAGAAACGTGGTCGCACATTGGCGATCGCTATACCTGCTCCCTGAAATGATAGTAAACGGGCCTTCCGAGGAGGGTTGCGACATTCGACACCGAAACACGGATACGCGTCAGCTGTGTGCGGCCGAACAATGGCCGGCGCGATTCTTTCACCTGAATTTAGCGCCTTACCCGGACACAAGTTAACGTGGTCGTTGGAATCGTTGAGCGTTCGTCTCACCGGGCGAAATGTGTATCTGAATTTTCATCGTTATCCCAGAGCAAAAGGAAATGAATTACCGAAGCTCTCGGATGTGCAGTCAATTGGGGACGAAAGAAGCAGCTAAGAACGAAAGTGAAATGTCGGGAACGGTGTCGATAAATAGAGACTCGAACAGAATTTAGTTATATATCGGAAATACGCATGTACATTTCTATATATTATCTATGTATTATCTATATATCACTCCTATTTTGGTCTGGAAATGTCAGTACGACGTCCTCTAACGTTACTCTCCTACTTGAGTTAAGTTAAGCACGAGGATAGTTCGCCACAAGTAATTCCTCAAATCAGAGATATAAATTGCGAAACTCGCTATATATGGGATCTACAAATGAAACGAGAGGCGGGTTATTTTGAGGTAATCTCAGAGGGATCCGTTTGATATTTCCGCAGCGATCGCATCGCCCAGGATTTAAATGGAATCGATCCGCTCACGATGCCCCATTGTCTTTCTTGTTTCGCAGGACGACGGCGGTATCGAGTACTTCAACACTATAGTGGTGCAGCCACACCTGAAGCTGGTCACGAACCAGGGCAGAGGTTTTCACGTGAGATGCAGATACCAGACGCGCGACAAAGTCGTAACGAACGACCAGACCCACGTGGCTATGCTGCAATCGTTGCCGTTGCAGGTAATAAAAACGTCATGGTCGCTCGTGTGTGGAAAATATCTCTCTTGAAATTTTCACGAGATATTCAGCCAATTACAACGTCCGTACGAAAGCATAAAAACCGCGTCGGGTTCGCGAGGATTATCCCCGTAAGTATCGTTTATGCACCGGTCTGACGATTAAAATGTCGACGAGTGAAACATTTATTGTGAAATTTATTTCGCTTATTTATGTTTTACATAATAAAATGTTCGAAGTAAGTATTCAGTAAAATATTCACAGTAAAATATTCTGAACGGTCCATACCAATTTTCGTTTGATTTAACACAAAGTAAATGTGTTGTAAACATATATTATGTCAAAAATCAATATAAAATTATAATATCCATAATATATCAATCGACATTGAAGTAAAAAATGTTATTTTAACATTTATGTTGAATATCAACTCAACACAAAATATTGAGGTAACGTAAATACAATGTGTTAAATTGACACACGGATACGCTGAAAATTTAACGCGAAAACTTTATCAGGAACGAATTTTAACACAAGTATAAAATATTTTTTATTGTGTATTAATAAAAAGAAAGACTGAAATATCGTTTTCTCGTACAAGGGATAATAAAAAGGAGGGACAAATGTCTACGATTGAACGGATAATTTTTGACATTTATTTATTTACTTATCTATTCATTATTTAATTAAGATGAAATATTTTTTTCGTACAACGGATATATAAAGAAGAAAAATAGAAGAAGGAGAGAAAAGAGAGGAAAGAAAATACATGAGGAAATATTTCCAACTCGTTGTTTACCATTCCCACAGGCGACCGCTCCGATGCCGGGATGCACGATGAAGATCTTTAGCGGCGATCCGACGCAGCATCACGTGGCGGAGAACGTAAAGATCGGCGATCCCCTGACCTTGGTCATCAGCATTGACAAGCAAGAAATGTTCGGCTTGAGGATATCCGATTGTCTGGTGCGCGACGGTCTCGGTTGGGGCGAGCAGCGGCTCATAAACGACGAGGGGTGAGTTCATATATATATATATATCATGATACACCGCTTATCACGATCGACTGGATAATAAGCGAGCGGAGATCGCGAGGAGGGAAGAGGAAGGGATCTTATCTCTCGGAAGAGACGAACAATTATTCGGTCCATTGATTCTCTCCTTCTTCTTTTTTTCCCTTCACGAACAAGTTGATCGAATCGCGCGATTCCTTTTCAGCTGCCCGATCGACGGCGAGATCATGGGACAGTTCACGTACAACGAGGACAAGACAGAGGCCAGGGTGAACTTCCAGGCGCACAAGTTCCCGTATACGGCGAGCGTGTATTACCAGTGCAACGTTAGACTGTGCGTCAAGCATGGCGGAGGATGCATTAACACGGTACCATCGTCGTTATTATACAGTACCTGGCCGTATTATTAGACGCAACGTTGATTTTTCAATAGAACACAGATTGGGAGGGGAAGAAAAGATGCTGATTTTATTATTTACTCCATTAGAATAATTTCGGTGTCAATCAGCGCTTCTACCTCTGCAACCTTCTAAGATGTCAAATCACTTGTTTTACTCATAATTTTTGTAAATAATATCAATGTTTTTCACACAATAATTTATTCTTCTGTCAGTAAGCAAGGAATTTGACGGTCTCAAGTCACAAGTAAATAAAAATAAAACGAAACTTCAATTGACATACATACACTCAAAACACGTCTATTGCCGTTGTTATCAGCAATTAGGCAACTAGCGCGGGCTCATGCTCGTTCAAGGTCATTATAACAGCCGAGTGAAATGACGTAAAAAAATACCTTTTATAATCGAATTTTAGAATATTCGTTCCTTAAAACATAATTCGATCGATAGATGAGCCGTATTATAAAGTCCTCGGAAGTTAATGAAATGTAAAAAACTAAGGTACGTCTAATAATATGGCCAGGGACTATACATGCGTTTTATATATAAGATGTACATACACACACATGCACACATATATATAGGATGATAAAGGGGAGAGGAATAATGGCTTTACGAGGGAATTATGAAGTACATTGTTATTCATCTTCCTTTAATGACCCAGCGATAGCAATCTAACGTCCGAAATATCGCATCGAGACGCATGTAATTCCCATCGTTATTGCTTAATAACACGTTGCACGAAGGCGTATTACGTAACACTTGACCCTGAGAAGGAATACTCCGGCGGCGGTTTCTCGGGGATTTACCAAGAGCATTCATTGCTATTCCCCGTTTGTAGCCGCCGTTGTGCAACTCGATAGTCAGACGACGCAGGGACACTGCCGATGACGACGAGGTGAAGGGTGTCGAAGGCTTGGACGGTACCCCGGCCACGATCGAAGTCTACAGCGGTCTCTACGTGAACGAAGCTTCGGACGTTGGCTCCAAGTCGGACTTCACCGACGACGTATTCAGAGAAAGGGTGAGGAAACCTTTAGCGATTATATACTATCGATAGTATTCTTATAATAATCATTTTCGTATTAATCGGCATAGTTATTATAATATATTGGACGGTTGGTGCAAAAGATTTATTTTTCCGATAAATTTTATATATTAAATATATTAAACAGATTTATATATATCAAATGAAAACACAAAAATTATAACATGAGCCGACACAAGTACAAAATATTTTTTACCGTGGGCGTGGGTGTCTGAAAAAAATAGTCGACGTTGTATATTTTATTCGTAAAAACGATTAATCCTTCGAAATTGGATAATTCCGTTCATGATGAACATTTCACCGGTGTCTTGTAAAATATCAGGTATAAGATATGACGTCAGGTAAATCGTTTCATCGTTCCTTTTTTCGCAATACTTCAGGCGATCGACGACCCGAACACCATTTGCATATCGCAGAGGAGCTTCGCCATCGGGATCGCCATCGCCGGTCTGATACTGATGCTCGCGGTGGTGGCTGCTATTCTGGTGCTGCTCGCCAAGAGGCGACACAAGAGCGTCTCCACGACAGGGTCGTCCATTTACAGCGGACCCTACACGAACACCGCCTACAGCCACAGTAGTTAAGCCCGCTCCGGTGAGCGCTCGGCCGCTCGGCGCGAAGTCTACGCGAGATCGAGATAACGAACACGCGGCTCCTCGGAGCGACCTGTCCCCGCGAAAGTACGCGCCTCCGCTCCTCGAATTTTTCGCTCCGCCGCGGTATCTCGACGGTATGTCGCGAGACTCGATCGGTCGATGATGATTAATCAAGCCGGCACGCTCGCCGTTCGACCGCCGACTCGAGATGCAACCTGGGCGTGGTTAACGAAATGTGAATCTCTTGCTCAACTGCCGATGCTACTGCCTGTTGTATCTCCTCCTCCTCTCCCTTCTTCTTCTTCTTCTTCATAAATTCGCTCTTCTAAGCAATACGCGACGTGTCTTCTGCAGCAACGCCGGTACACGCTTCGAGGTATCCGAAGAAGCCGGTTGTTCCCCCGATACCGAGCTTTCCTGCCTCTTCTTCTTCTTCTCCTCACACGCGGGTATTTCTTCGTACGAGAACGTTCGACTCGTGAAACTGTCACGACAGTCTCGATAACGAATTCCGAGGCAAGTTTTCACGAACATTTATAGTTCGCTTCTTTGGTGCAATATTTATCGTATAAAATATAAGTGATTTGATACGAAATGAGCGCGCGGAGATACGAAAATTTCCGAGAGATCATTCTCGCGGGGAGAAATTCTATTCTTGTAGAAATCGGTGCTTGAACGCATTATTGAGACCTGTCTGGAACAGGGTTGCGAATCTTTCGTTTCCTTCTTTGTCTCTCCCTCTGTTCTTCTCTTCTCTCCGTTAAAATAATCCGCTAGGCCTCCGCTCGAACCGTCCCGCTGGCGAACGAGAAGTCGTGCTCGGGGTAACGATCGCTCTCGAATCGGCGCTTCGTTCACAGCGCCCGCGTCGCGTAGCAACCTTAGCGAAACCCTTACCGTTACTTCCGATCGCGCGCACGTCTAACGCGAATCGACACGACTCCGTCGCGAGTTGCGTCACATTCTAATATATATACCTACCTACGTAATATTACTATACTGTACACTAGTCCGGTATACGCTGTCCTACCTAACATATACGCACACACACGTACACATACACACGCATATACACACACATACACACAGCACGCGACAGTACCGTCAAGCCGCGGTCATCTCGATGATTCAATTCCAACATTACCCCGCGTGAACTCACTCTAGCGATTTAAGTTGAAGTCGACAACTGCCGACTCGATCAAATACTCCAGTGATACATCGCGACGTATCACCCTTCCCCCCGCCCCCCCCGTCCTACCGCCAGCGCGGCATCTCCGCGCGCAACTGTTCACGTTTCCGTCTTGTATTTTCGTGTCTTGGCCTCGAAGGCACCCTCCGATTCGCATTCCTCTCCGACGCTTCGAGTTCACCGTTGCGCGCAACTTAACATGCGCGCGGCGGCATTTTCGTTTGTATTTCCGATCACGTTGCAGCCGGTGTGTGCGGTTAATTCGGCTCTTTGGATGATGCGGACGACGGAATTCGCTCCGACGCGGTGAAAAACGCGGCAATGCCTTTCCGTCCTCTACCATTGGTTCGCTTTTTCGAGACGCGTCGAGCGGCATTAAGTGGAAATAGTAGTTGAATAAATACAATACAATAGTAAATCGCGGAGTATTTATACTCCGTAATTATATTTTGCGTAACACTCGCTGTGTCAGCAACGACGCTTGCCAACCCAGACGACATAATGTTGAAAATCCGGACGTAAGACGTCTCAGTTCAACGCAACGAGTCCAAAATCGAGTCACGAGACATTTCAAAGACGAGAATCCACTTTTCCATACGTGATCGGAAATGCATCCATGATATAAAACAGAAAGACGACGAATATTGATAAAAAAAAAAAGAACTCAACCAAGATTCAACAGAATGCGTTGTCGGTCACCGGTGAGCTTCCACTGGTGAAACCGTGTGTGTGTGTGTATGTGTGTGTATGTACGTATGTGTATGAATGGGCCATTGCCGTCGTAGAGATGCTCATCACACACTCAATCTTACATCACAGCGAGTCGTTGGCGAATGAAAGGCGAAAATTCCGAAGCCCCCCTCCCCCCTCTCGTTACGAATCACTCCGACTACTAAATGTCTACGACGTCGCGATGCTCGTGTGAATGTGAAGCAAGCGGGCGCGCCGCTCGGTCCGGAGCGTAGAATCAGATCTGTAATCCGTCGCGACGCTTGAACGTGTTAATGTTAATTAGCCTAATTGAAACGAGGTGCTGCTCTCCGATGTCGGTGTGCCGGACTCCTCCGCGGGAACAGCCGGGCGAGACGTCTCCCGAGCGGTTCAGTTCAAAGGATTCCCCGAGTCTTCGAGACTTCGTCGGACGCGTGAATCGCCGTAAAGAGGAGGAGGAGGACACCGACGATATCGTACCGACAGCGATATCGGTCGCGGAGCGTTTAGATTATAACTGACAAAGACGAGGAACTTACTGCCAACTGCGCGCAGTCGCGTAACGTGGGTCCAACGTGGTGGTGGGTACATGATCATAAAATTTACATTTACGAAGAGGAATCAACACACGCGCGTAACGTAACTTGGTAACTCATTAAAGCGCTGATACGCCGGGCCGCCGCTGTCCGGCGGAGAGTGTAGCGTTTCCGGGAACGATAATGAATGTGTGCGACAGCGGCTCCGGATGGACCCGACACGGTGCGTCGAATGAGAGACGCGACGCCGACGCTACGTGAGCGCCGTCATGCTTTCGCGGTGCAATAATATTTTACCGGTCATTCCGGAGGCTGTGATGGTCACGTGGTCTGAGAGAAAAATCCGCTAAAAATTAGTGATTATAAATGTTTTCCTTGATTTTTGAATATATATCTCTTTATTTTCATATTTTTGAATATATATATTTATATTTCTAAATTTATATATCGTCTGTGTTGAAAAGCTAGACAGATCACGCATGTACGTGTCCCTCTCTTCTACCGAATTATTTTTTAACGACTTTTGCTTTTTCAATGACATTCTTTTGCCAAACACACACACATATCTTAGGGTGTCTCATGCCATGTGTATTGTTGCAGCCTCGGGACGATGTGAATCTACGTGAATCTACGTTTGAGCGTACTCATTTACGTTTACTCAGGGGCGAGGTGTTATTTCCTCTTGCATTACTCCGTGGTACGATAATGTAAACTGACGACGTCCACTTCCCGCTTTAGCGCTATCCCATGAAAAGTGCAATAACTTCGAACGCTCCGGAGGTCCCCGGAATTTCTGTCGAGGGTTTTGGAATCGCTCGGCGAACGCGTCGCGCGTTTATTCTCTTGCCGCGCCATGGCATTGGTTCATAGCGATCATTGGGGACGGAAAAATGGCTGTATAGTATTCCTTCTTTTTTTTTCTTTTTTTCTTTGTAACGCAACGCGACGCTCCCGATGCTCCCGCAATGTTCCTCTGGACCCTTGTCAAAAGAATTTACAACGAATCTGTGTAAATAACGAAAACTTAATAAATCTGATAACCATGTGAGATAATATTGTCTGCCTTCTCCAGCTGTCTCGTCTCGCGTTTATGAATAATTGAAAAATTCCGACGAAGTAATTCGCGCAGAAACGATGGTAACGAAACGACATTGTATTTTACGGTTTCCCAGTCTAAAGTCTACTTTTTAGATATGTTGTTAAAAACAGGTATTTTCCATTTAGTAATATAAGTCTGCACAAGTATCATCCCATCCATTGTTACTCGCTGAATGTGGAATGAAGCCAAAATGATACTTTTGTCACTGAATAGAAAGCACTCAATAAAGCTCAATTAATTTTTACAATGTCATACGAATATATATATATATATATATATATATATATATATATATATATATATATATATATATATATATATATATATATATATATATATATATATATATATATATATATATATATATATATATATATATATATATATATATATATATATATATATATATATATATATATATATATATATATATATATATATATATATATATATATATATATATATATATATATATATATATATATATATATATATATATATATATATATATATATATATATATATATATATATATATATATATATATATATATATATATATATATATATATATATATATATATATATATATATATATATATATATATATATATATATATATATATATATATATATATATATATATATATATATATATATATATATATATATATATATATATATATATATATATATATATATATATATATATATATATATATATATATATATATATATATATATATATATATATATATATATATATATATATATATATATATATATATATATATATATATATATATATATATATATATATATATATATATATATATGTCATCAATCGCATTGATCAATTAACTAAACTGATCAATGCGATTGGTTGTTTAAGCGTCAGTTAACTGTTGGTTAACTTAACCGGAGTTGGAAAGTTCCTAGTTAGCAACACGTTTGTCTCCAGAAAACGTATTCTCCTATTGGATGTCGGACGTTGTGAACATCGGAGGTAGTGTGAATCCTGCATAAAAGCCTTGATCTCTTCGACGAGTAATTGAAACCGTAGTAGGCCTCAACAATATGGTCAGCCACCTCTTCTCTTTGTCAAGTAGTACGACTCAACGAATGGTCAGCCATATTTTCCCGTACGTTAAACACGGGCAGCTCAACAGACCGTAACTTCGTCAAAAATGAAGGTAACGAGACGGTTTGGGAAACGTTTTAAAGCTTGAAGTCTCCACTTTTCAGGAATATTACATTCCATTTGCTACTATTGTTCGTTAATATATAAGTTAAATGAAAAACGATGAGTGAGAACACTCCTAACGGACAAGTAAAAACGGCAACAACAGCGCGCGTCTTGCGGGACAAGAATAAAATCAACGGAAGCTGGCGAATTATCAAACGAGAGTGGTTTCTTTTTTATTGAATTATATATAATTCGTTTTTGGAAAATATGATATAATATATATAATATATATGTATATAATATAACAAGAAATATAATTAGACTGACATGACTTCTATCAAATTGTTTTTTTTTCCGGCTCTCTATGATGTTGTGTGTGCATTTCGGATGAATAATATAGCTCTTTATTTACGTCACAGAAGTGTCGCGCGAATCAGAATCAGAAATTGCTTCGCCTCCCTTTCGCCACCTTATACACAGATAATTCAGGTCGGTTCTTCTCTTCACCTTCGCCTTATTACTCCCCCCCCCTCCCCCTCCCTCCACGCCTCCTCTTGCCTTTCTCCTTTTACATACACACATCTCTCTCTTTTATTCTTCTCTCAACTAAGATTACATACCGAGACTAAACGCGATGCTTCGTACAGCCGAAGAACCGATGAATATGCTTGAAACGTCCGTCCGTTCGCGGGAGAAATCTCTTTCTCTCGCACACTTCTTTTCTCTTAATAAATATAAATTATCTCTTCCTTAGCGCGCGTAACCTGAATACTTGTACATTCGTCGCGGAACATTGTGCATATGTCCGATGAAGCGACGTACGGACAAGTGGCGAATGCGATCGAAACGCGGAAATAAATCGTAATCTTCCTGCGTCGTCGTTGCCGAGAATTAACGAAACGCCGGCGGGGGAGAACAACGCAAAACGCACGACATATAAAATACGTTGCTAAAGCATTTAGCAGAGAGATACACAGCCATTCTTCACAGTTCATTCTTACATCGTAATATACATGTATCACGTCGGTATGTGGACGAAACGTAAAAGAAAAAGGGGGGAAAAAGGGGGAAAAAAAGAAAAAAAAAGAGAGAAATAAAAGAGAGTGAGAGAAAAGCGAGAGAGAGAGAGAGAGAGGAGAGATCTACGTCGGTTGGCTCACTTGCAACTTGTCCGCATCACATTCAACTAGCTCTACAGACTCTCAAGATCGGTCTCATCAACGTCGGTTAGGCTCGACCGCGATTATCTCCAAGTCCCGTTTATCTCTGTCTACCTTGTAATTACGAACTAATATCTAGAAAGACGGAGAGAAAGAAAGAAAGAGACAGAGAAAGAGGGAGAGATAGATGGACTGATTAACGGAGAATTCGCGACGCAACGTCGATTGCGAAGTCGCGCGACGTTGCGAGAAACTCTTCTCCGATCCCGAGAAATCAGCTTCTTGTAATTTCGAATTTGCGATTTTCGTAATTTTTCTCGCGTAATTTGTCCGCCGAGAGGAAAGACGGATCATGGGGACGTGGCTGCCTCGGAGAGACAGAGGAACACTCTCTCTCTCTCTCTCTCCCTCTTCGGGCGAGCGATCGTTGTTCCCGTCTGCGTTTTGCGATTCCAGTCGCAACGCTGAGGGGACAGGGGAATAATAATCGGCCGTTCTGGCGGGGCTAATCGGTGTCGGTGCGACCGGCCTTAGCAGAAAAATGTCAAGCATATCCACCGTGCTTTTCAGACTCGCTCGGCTGCGCGGTCTACGAAACGCAAGTAGCGGCGAAAAGATATGCTTAGACGGCAAGGTGACACACTTCGCGTTCCTGTAACGCGTCATCCCCGCTCGACAGCTCGCTTCTATTACGCATTGCCCTATTATGCGCCGTGTACTATTATCTCAAGCCGTACGCAACGATGAATGAGCGGATGATGAGTGCACGCGGGGAAACGGCGTTCCGCTTCTTCGTTTTCTTTTTTTTGTTCTGCCGCGAATGGTCTAGACGATGTCCGCGAGCGCGCGGCTGAAACGTACAGGATTGCTCTCGTTATACAGAACAGGTGTGTTTGTGTGTGTGTGTGTGTGATTCAGCTGTCGCTGAGGACGCGGATCCTCGAAGGATGCGCGCTCGTGAGCCGACCGGACGGATCGGAAGGACGAGAGCCGTGAGAGAATCGACTTCGCGTCCGCGTATCAGGCGGGATGTCAAAGATCCCAGTAAACACCGAGTAATATTAAAACGTTCAAACGTCCTGACTTCCCACTCCCAATGGTGCGGCTGTTACACATACCAGCATTCGTTGCACTTACACCGTTCAGTGGGAAATAACGCCAATGTCGTGATTTATCACTAGATAGCGTCTCGCTAATTTCCCTCGGTGGTTGCGTTTCGAAATCCTACTTGACGAGCGGAGTAGCATTTAAGTAACCAATCGTGATAGAGAGATCCTTGTTTCTTTTTCGTCCTGATCGGTCAATCAAATGCTACTCCATCGGTCGGATTCTATTCTAAGATCTCGGAACGCGTCCAATAGTGTAAATGCAATGTAACATATATCCAGTAAATACCAATTAACGCTAACATAACATCAATGTTACAATTTCCAACTCAACAATGTAGTAATTACAACATTGATGTTATGTTATTAGTTGACGTTTACTGCGTATATATATCAGCTTTTATATATATAAAACAGTTACGTACCGTTGAAAAAGTGGGAAATTATATAATATTAATATTTTTGGTCGGCGTTTATTGGGACTACAGATTGCACATTCGAGATTCGAATTCAACGAGCCTATCAACATCGACCTCGACCTGTTTAATTCTCATTGGTCGAGCTCTAATCGTCAAAGATTTAATTTCCAGCGTCCAGTCCGACATGCACGGGCCTCTTCCTCGCGGAAGGCTCGCTCCTTCTCGCTTCCTGCGCCACGCCGTGTCGACTCGTCGATTTATTGCTCGCCGCTAACAATCGCCTTACGGTCGCATACAAAAATAGTAGGAAACGAATTGATGAGGTCTTGCAAGTTTCACGACACTTATAATACCCGTTCTCCTCCGCTCTTCATCGCGTTCTCGTACTCTTAGGATTCTCTTTTTTTTAAGGCGAGAGCCGATCTCGACCGCCTCTCGCGCGCGCTTTTCTCTTCGCATCTCACGAGGATCTCTTTAGAATATTCCGGGGAAATGACAAAAAATCAGTCGAGCGACCAGGTTGATCGCACGATTCGCCGCACCTACCGCCGCGCGCCTCCCTCCTCCGCTCCTCTCGGTAACGAAATCCGCTGTGCAAACGCCGCGAGCGAGCGACGATTAGAAGGTCGATTAGAATAACAATTGACAATCGTGTCGTGATATCTCATCTCGCGAAGATCAAGCAGATCCACGAGCGCAAACCAGCGATTACCGTTCGAATCCGCGTGAAAACGTGCGAACGCGCAGTCATCGTACGGCGCGACGGCGAACAGGTGTGTCGAATGCGCGGGAAAAGCATACCAACGAAACGGGAAATGAGTATACGCGATCATTCGCTTGCCGTCTGTGTGTGTGTGTGTGAATGAGTGTTGCATTTTTGGTTCGTCTAGTATCGTTTTAGCTATCGCACGTAAAGAAGCGACGGCCTAACAAGTAACGTCCGCGCGAAATTATATTATCGTACACTGTACAAACACGCCCGCGCACATACACGTATAATCTATCACACCCTCTGGTACGATTCCCCCTTCCACCCCCCCCCTCCTTCAAACCGGTCATCGTAGAAATAGTCGGTAAATCACATGAATATAATCGCGATCGCTTACAAAATATATAATATATGTGGTGCCGTGAGGGTGTCGGACGATACTTGGTGGCGGTTCCGTTGGCGGCCGATGTAGGTTCTTTTTTTCTCCCCTTCCGGTCATCTATTCCTCCTCACATCGTCTTCTCCTCCTTCTTCTTCATTTTCTTCTTCCTCCTCCTTCTCTTCTCGCTTATCGTTATTTATCTTAAGGAGATGCGTGAACTGCTCTTTTTAATAGGTACGATTATTTTTTTCTTTTTCATCTTCTTCTTCATCTTCTTTAATCACTACGACGACGTTTTTTTTTTCTTAGGTACAGTTAAATACTATGCTTTTGTGCGCCCATCTCTTTATAATCGAGTATGTACGTGTGTGACTGTGTGTGTGTGTGTGTGTGTGTGTTTACTTATAACTTCTCGCTTTAGTTATCTGCGATCAGGTCTCTTTCGTTCCCTCCTCGTTCCTCTAGTTTTTTAAAGCCTATAACGAGATTAAAATCCTTGTCACGCGCGCGCACCTCACCCTCCGAGCTTCTTTCTTCTATTCCCCCCCCCCCNCCCCCCCGTCATGGTCAGCTTTTACGTTACCCGGCCGAGGGCGGGTAAAAATTTCCGTACGAGCGAGCGCGCGCGTTTGTTCCTCCTCTCTCGCTTACTTAAACTGTGTCATAAAAAGATAGGCACACCTTCACCTACGTTCTGAAGTACAATCACCGTAAGCGAAGCTTCTGGATGGATTCCACTTGGTTTTTGTGTGTCGCGGAGCAACGTGGGCAGCTCTCGCGCGATCCCGTCGTGTTCTCACTACCTTCTACGAAAAATAACGACTGATGGTGTGTGGGTGTGTGTATGTGTGTGTGTCGCGTGCGCGCGCGTGTATGAGGATACCTAGCTAGTATATATTATTTTTTTTCTTGCGATCTTCTACGCTCTATCTACGCGTGAAAGAGAGGGAGTGCACAGGTTCTCGCGGCGTCGGCCCGCAAAAGTAAAACGACACGCACCAACCGCGGTGGTGGTGGTGGTTCCTCGACGGTGCGAGGCGCGCCCGCGTTGCTTCGCCTACAATAGTTTTTTTTCTTTTGTTTTTTCACAGACTGAGACGTTATTAATTAACCACGGACCGCGTGTCACCATCACCGCTACAGCTGTTGCATGATAATCGCGTGTACGCTTCTATTTCGTTGGAACGGTGTGTGTTGTACGTGCGTGTGTGTGTGTGTGTATCTGTGCGTGCGCGAGAAGTACGTCTGTCGCGTGACCGAAGGGTTAACGGAAAAGGGACACTCGTGAGAGTTGTTGCGCGAAGTGTGCTGCGCTTACTGGAAGACGAATTACTCGACGGTGATTGGTGAAAGTCGGGTATATCGGCCGGATATATCTCGAAGCGGATTTGCCGATTTGGATCCGAAAGGAGAAACAAAGAAGTCGCCGAAATTAGTCACACGGTGTACGAATCGAACACACGGAAGGAAAGATCGGTGGAAGTCGCGTGACGTGGCGTTACTTGGCGCGTGTCGGCGTAGAGGAAACGGAATTTCCGGCTCTTACGAATTCGGAAATTTTATTTACTTATTTATAGCATAAACGGGGAAAAATCCTTTTTTAAAATAAATAAATAAGGGAGGATGATAGAAAGAAAAGTACATAAAGTGACGATGGGGATAGCAAAAAAGATCTAAGGCAACCAAACCTGAGATCGAAGATATCAACGCCTGGACAAATTCCTAATTCTGGACGTTTTTATTATTTTGTGGTCTTTAAATGCTTGTAATATTTAAACATTCAACATAGAATATATATATATATATATGTTGTAAACTCAATATATATGTCTATTACTCTATTGAAAGTTTAAACGTTCGCACTCGAAGACCAAAACAATAAGAATGTTTAGGCGTTGGTACTTTTACCTACGTTTCTACGAATAACAAACTTAATTTGTTTCTAAGCTTTGAGACATGTGAAAGAGATGAGTAAAATGAGATAATTCATCTGCTAGCATGTCGAAACGATTAATGAGTTTGAACCATCCAAACGTAATGTTCGATGATACGAAATAAAGAAGTGGAAATTCCGTTTCTCCTGCCTGGGAAACGCGCCAAGTCACGTCACGTTGCGTCGATTCGACCAATCCTTTTTTTCCCCGTGAAGGAGAGAAGTCGATACGTAATAATGATCGTCGATGATCTTTCTCCACGAGAGAGAGAGTACCGGGTAATATCGGTGGTGGTTCGTTTCACGTGGAATCAGGAGACTGTGATGGCTTTACGCTACTTAACTACCGCTCAAAACTAGAGACACAGAGACCGTGTACTGAATACCGTTTACATATTTACTTAACTTATGGTCAGTTACGCACACACACACTGCTTATAACTCATTTGGAACTCGCGACGATAGGATAGGGTTGTTGTGTCCCGATTAGACGTGTCTACTTTGAACCTTAGAGAGAACGTCGTGTGAGTGTTAAAAACGTTTAGATCCGAGCGTATCTTTGTCTCCTCTTCCTCCTTCCTCCCCCCTCCTCCTCTTTTCGAATATAATCGTATCGTTACCCGCTTTCGTCCTTACACGCGGCATGTATCGACGCCGCGTCGTATGTGTACGTATGTATAGTTTTTTTTCCGTATCGATTTTTTCGATAAAACATAATAAAAATTCTCGAGTATACGTCTTTTTCATAGAAATCAGATGTAAACTTTTCTTCGTGGTGCGTAAAAGTGACCTATCGCTCGCGTACAATAGAGACACGTGTTCGGATAGAGAAGCGTAGAAGAGAGAGAGTTGATGTTGTATGTGTGTATGTGTATGTGTGTGTGTACGAATGAACGTGTGCGGCATCGTCAACGCGCGCGGCAACTTTTAGAATTTTCGTATATAGATATTCACGATGAGGTAGCAAATAACTTCGTTCAAAATGGACTCGAAACGGGCAGCGATGAGACGTTAACGCAATGTTCGTTGACCGATGCGATGGCAGCGCGTATCAAAATCAGCGGGTATAGATAGATCGGTAGGTAGGTAGATTGGTAGGTAGGTAGATCAGGTGGTGGAACAGTTCCCTTCGGGGGGGAACGATCGACACCGATTTCCAGGAAACTCGGGTTTGTGAGATTCCCCTTTTTGTAAACGTACTCAGTAAAGTGTGTAGTTTTTTTTCTCCTGTTTGTTATTTTTTCCATTATTACTTTTAATCATCCGGTGAAGGAGTATCGGAAAAATTGTCGACGCGATAACCGTGACTTCCCACCGGGAAATTCGTATATATACGTCTGCCGTGTGGGTTTGTGTGTTGAGTGTTTGCTCTGATCTTAGAGGTAATGCTTCTTAAATGTAAATCTCACATTCATATAGTATCTGTAAAACCGCAGTTAAAATATCTTCAAGTATTATATATATATATATATAATAATCGTAATAGTAATTAAAATCTTTTCTCCCGTAACTATTCGGTACACCACTGGTTCGTTCGTTCGTTCTCTTTACGGAACTCGCGCACGTATAATAATCATTTTCTCTTTTTTCTCTTTTATTCTCTTCTCTCCTTCCTCTGAATTATCATTCCCGCCTTTTCGCTCCTCTCGCCCTTCTTGTCATGGTAAATTCAGACTTGATCGAGCGTGACTGCGTGGATTTCATGTTTGAAAAAGGATTTTCGAATTTCGCTCCTCGTTCCTCTCGCGTTCTCGCGGAAAGACGGTAAAAGAAATCCGCGTTACGGCATGTGTGTGTGTGTGTGTGTGTGTGTGTGTGTGTGTGTGTGTGTACTATCTCGCCTCCTCTCACCACTTATTTCCCATACGTACGCGCGTCACAGAGACGCTATCCTTATTCGCTCATTCCCTCGCTTCGGGCCGCGTGGCGGCTCTGTGACTCTCTTGAATTAATTTAGGATAACAATTAATATGCAGCGTGTAGTACTCGTGTGTCTGACGGTAAAGTGGGTCCGCCGAGTCCGGTTCTTCATCACCTCGGCTGCGAGGGTGCCGAATTCGCGCTGCACCGGCGATGTTACGCGTATCTTCCCGCCGCTCTCGTCCCCCTTCTCGCCCCCTCAGTACTGTACCAACTGGTTCCGACGGGTGATTGTCACCTTCACCGTTCCTGCAAGGAAGCGTCACCGTTCAGACTGGAGTCGCAGAGTCGCTCTTCGCCAACCGTCGACGTGTAACACGGAGGAAACGTTCCGGCCGCAAATCAAACGGACATCGTCGAACGAAAAATGCTCGCACGCAAACTCATCAGAAGAAGCTTTACACGTAACAAGCAAAACATGTCTCGTAAGGAAGGATAATCCATACAGCGAATACTGCACAGCCACGTACACACGGTTTGTTGTGACCGATGTGAGAGGAAGCAACGGTGTGAACACCGGCGTGAACCCGATTGAGTGATACTGTCGCGTGTGTTCGTGTCTCGTCGGCTCGAGTGCGTCTGTCAAGCAATGAGAGATGTGGTATCACACAAGTGTCGTGTGGTAAGATATCAAGAGTGCGCACGGAAGACATTCAGTGTCGTCGTGGCGAAATGTAAATCACGAGGAAACGTTCTCGAGTTTTGCAATAACGTTCCTTGCTTACAATATTTTATACGTAAATCTTTGGATAAAATATCTTCTATATACAAAATGATCCCAGCTCAACACGGATAAAGCTCGTGAGGTCAAGGTCACCGAAATATCTTCCAAATCCCAAACCTTTTATCTGAAACATTTCTTCCTATTTTGCTTTATTTTCGTTACGTTAAGATGTCTCAAATTAAATCTCCCCACTCTGTATATAAAGTTATAAAAATATAAATACATGTGTGATAAATATAAAATATAAATAATTTATATAATATAATTATGTAAGTATAAAATGCAATATGTGAACTAACGCGATGTCAATTAGATTTACAAGGACTGGATACATGCGTGTGAATTAGAACGTTTCCCCGGCGGACCGAAGTAATATCATGTCCCGTGTGCGCGTCGAGCAGCTGTCATAACACGTACGGTGCAACAATGACGTATACAGATGTGCGGTGTAAAAGTATCTTTCTCTTTTCGATGAAATTACGCGCGACTTCCGGATTCGCAAGTTTCGCCGACGCTGTCGCATTTCTCTCCGCAACAACAGCTCGAGGGAATGGAAAGTGTGATTTCCAATCCGACGCGTTCATCACGCACATTTTCGCTCGTGTATGGAGTTTTGCGCGTCAAGTAGGGGAATCACTTTCCAGCACGTGTGTGAGAAAAGAAAACCGCAAAAACGTCGAAAAAAAAAAAAAAAACGAACCAATGCGCGTGAAGAAGCCCCTACCGTACGGAGAAGACACTCTGTGTGTGTGTGTGTGTGTGTATGTCCTGTGTGGTATTTTATACTTATCAAGTTCTGTACCTTATATCATACTGTCTTCCATAGGTATCGCTTTTAAGGGGGAGACAAGAATGTGTCAAAATCGTGTTACACTTGAGAACCTTCATAAGCAGAAACGAAAGCGGAAAGAAGGTGAACGAAAAATCTTAAGCGACGTACTGAGAGCGAACATCGAATATCATTTATCCGTCTCTATAGCGCGCCTGGTACCGCCAGTACCCGATTTCATACCTTCTCTGATGTCCTTGGGCACGTTCGACGCGAGCGACGGCACGGAGGGCGTCTGATAGAGGTTGGGCCGCGCGCCGGTCGGTGGTAAGGTGGCTACTTTGGACCTGGACGGGATCGATAGGAAGCGCATGAATTTCACCGGTAACAGCGGGACGACGTTTACATACCAAACGCTCGAAGTGTGATGGGAACTCTGAGACTACCTCTGTTTGCGGATCTTCGGATTTCTGCCGTCGAAGGAAGTCGGAGTGCCGCCTCCCGAGGTGTTAGATGAATACGAAGGCGGCCTGTACGGCCGTGGGCAGCCTTGAACAACAGGCGGTGATGATACTGGTGCATACTGCAACCGCGAATTGGTTGGTACGCCAGGATGCATCAATCTCATATCCCCTACAGTGAGAATTATTCGTTTAGAAACGACCTCCACGACGAAACGGATGGAGGATCCCGAGAGAAAGATCAATACCTGGCACGATATGGACACCCTGATACATTGGCAGTGGGTAACGCGGTTGTGGTTGTGCGCTTCTGTCCCCGTTCCCACCTCCGAAGAGCTCATGCGCCGGAGTCGGCGACCGACTCGCTCTCTGGGAGTTACCTGGCGTCGTCGCTCGAACACCGGGAACGACCTGTCGACCGGCCAACACCTTTCATCAACGAGAGCTTCACACGAGTTATAGAAGACTCCATCGTTGCAGTCCTATTTTCTAGGGTATAGTGACATCGTAAATGTACAATCGGGCACATTATGCCTGAACATTCAGGCATCATGTTGGTTATTCGGCGAATCGGCAACGAGACGCTTCGAAACGACAGTCGTGACGCGCAAATGTTCAGAAATGATGCATCTGATTGGAAATGTTAGACGTCGCTACGCTTGCAGAACAGAACTGCAACATTAAAACCCAAGAAATCTTTTACTTGGAAACTTTTTGTAAAGAGTAGTATCTGCGAAACTTTCTTTCCTCAATAAAAATGCCTTAAATGTGACTACTCGATCAATCGGGCGGTTCTTAAAACGGGGTCTTTCATGAGAATTTAAGTACTTACGTCTTAAATTCTCATTGTAGACCCTGCTTAAGCCGCTTTCGGAGGAACTTTTATCGATAAAAGAGAATTCGGAATACTGGCCTAGATTTGAGACCAAAAGAAAGTTATCGGCCGGATGTAAAAATGATCAAGAAATTACTAGAAATTTACTAACGTTCTAATACCTTTCAAGTATCTGTCAACATAAATGCTAGATCTCGGTCTGAGATCTAGCATTGTAAACACTACCCCTAAGTGCTATTTTCCTTTGAAAAACTATCTTAAAATCTTCGGGAAAATTCACACAAAAATATTTTCCTTATACGAAGCCCGCAATCACGATTGCGATGATTGGGGCTTAAAGGGGATTAATGGAGTCTCCTGTAAGTCGACGACTAGCTGACGTTCACTCACAGGAACGTTTTGTCTGAAGACGAGATTGGGAACCAGCGTGGATGCCATGTACGCGCTGGGCGGCGCCGGGGACGTGCCATTGTGAGCGACCTGGTGGTGTCCAAACGTGCCGCCGGACATTACCGGCGGTGCGTAGCTGCTCGAGTTGACATACATCAGCGGCATACCGGGTATCTGTTAACGATCGATAACGCGGCTCGTTAGCTCACCGTTGGCCCGTAGACGCGGCGCGATGTCACGGCAGATCAACGGCGATTACCTGATTGGACGTCGGTGTGTTCGGTGGTGTTGGTACTCGGTACATCACAGGCGGTGGTTGCATCGCCGCTGGTTGTCCCGGCGGATAATACGTAGGAACCATATGGACCGGAGGTTGATACGTATAGTCGCCCGGTGACGGGGTTACCGCCGGCACGGAATTGTAAGGTACCGGATAACTGCCCACGTAATTAGCTGAAAGACACAATAATCGTATAAGTCTTATACAATACTTACACTGTAGTATCATGGAAGTACTTACTTATGTTATGTATAAGTACTTGTACATAAGTGCTATATAAGTTTCCGAATAACACGTATATCTAAAAGACGTCTTTACGGCGTCTTAGACCCGGTCTACAACAAACAATAGGTGTTTTAAGCCTTAAGTTATTGAGCAATCACGGTGAAATCGTGAGAGGAATAACCGACTGCGGTCGGTCAATTTCTTAAGGCTCAAAATACTATTATAGACCGTGACTTTAATGTCATCTGGGTTACGTATCAATATTTATATATAAGTACAATATGAGTTATATATAAATATTTATATAAGTTATATATACGTATTTATACAAATTAGATAAAAGTACTTATGTAAGTATGCAAGATATCTCATTAAAAAATATATATATACTTAAATATATATATAAAAAAAAACATCGCTGGATTGACTTTGAATTATTGACAACTTATGTCGCTCTTTAATTGTTAATTAATGTCGCTCTTAAACCCTAAATTGTTCGAAACATTTTTTCTAAAATAATATTTCTTATATATTAAACCATATTTTCAAAAATAGGACACTGTATAAGTATTTATACTATGCGACTTATATCACTAATATTACTTGTACTATAAAATAAGAGTGAGGAGAGACGCAACGTGCGCCTCTCGAGAGCGTAACGTACAATTCGCTTGGCTCGGAGGAGTCATCGTTTGCGCGTTGAAGGAGTAATTCGTCGGGAACCTCTGCTGTTGGTGCAGCTGCTGCCTGTCACCCGGATTCTGGCCGACGGAGATCGTCGTTCCGGGCGGTGGCACGAAGTACATCGTCTGCTGGGGCTGGAAGGAATTCGCCTGCCGCTGTAGAAGAGCGCACATTCTCACCTTCCTGCTTCCCGAATTTCCCCCGATAACTCACCGGCATTTGATTCGGCGGTGGTTGCCAGTAATTCGGCTGCACCGTCTGCACGTTCTGCACGGTCTGATTCGTGGATGGCGGAGGTTGCGGATACGAGTGCGGCGGTGACGAGTGATTCTCCCCGCCGCCGCGCTGATCGTAGATGTTCATCCCCAGGAAATAGCCGGACAACTCGGCCACGTCCTAAGAAACGTTACTGATCGTCACATCGGTTCTCTCGACGTTATCAACAGCTAAAGGTTTCTCGAGAAACAATATTAAACATAAAACTTGAACCGTGTCAATACTCGAAAATCTTCGCTAAATGTAACCAAATCTGTCACGCATGCAAACAAAGTGAATAATCACGCAAATCCATATTCACATGCCCTCGAATATGACGTTCCACAGCCCTCCCCCCTTCCTCATCACAGATCCCCTCTACCCGTTTGCAAGTCTTAGAATAAAAAAAAAAATGATCGTAAAAAAATGTTTCCTCCCGTGGTGTTCCTCTTTTTCGAAACCATCCAAAAAAATTGTGCCCTTAAACATTTCCTCGTATCATTGAAAAGAAAGGAAAGATTGAAGTGTCCTTCTAATCGGGTCCGGCAAAGATTATCACGAAGCTAACAGAGATGCTCACCCCTGACTGTGGTACCGGTCCTTGGTGCACCGGTACCGCGTAATTGGCATAGATCTGATTCTGATTGAAGAGAACCTCGCCTTGGCCGCCGTTCTGTACGCTTGCTTGACCCTGAGTCGGATGAGGCGCCATCATCACAGTCGGTTGCCCCATGGGAGGCGGATAGACACCTTGGTTGTACGGTTCTGAGGTAGGTACATAGGTCGCGTACGGTTGAGCCGTTTGGTTATGACTACACGTCTGCACCGTTGATGACGATTTGACTAGACTTTGCTGCGGTTGCGGCGGCGGTTGCTGCGGAATGGGTGGGTTCTGCGGAGGAGGCGGGGGCGGCGGCGGCGGCGTGAACGGCAGACTCGGCGACGTCGCACTGTTCGTCACTTGGGTGACGGTTGTTGGCGCGTTGCTGGCGGCGTTGCTCTTCGACTGCGAACGCTGCTTCTTGCCGTCGTTCTTGCACGAGCTGTTCGTCGTTCTGGACGGCTCGACGGTGGTGGTCAGCTCCGCGTGCTTGTTCACCGAGTTGGACGAGGGGTTCGAGGCGTGACCGTTCTCGTTCTCGATCGTGAAAAACTTGGGCGGGTTGTCCGGGTCGAAGCGGTAGATGCTGCCGTCCGCGTTCGTGTACGGCTGGTTGGTCTGCGGGTTTATGATGATGCTGCCGGGCGGCACGCTGGATATACTGGTGACCGCCCACATCACCGTCTGCTGGCCGTTCGACTCCGGCGACGCCAAGTCTTGACTAGATACTTGAGTATGGCTGCACGTCATGGCGGCCACGGGGGAGGGCGACGGAGAAGGTGATATCGTCGCGTCGCTGCGTTGGCTCTGCGACTTGTAGCCGCTGCTCGATGGACTCAAGCGTGAACACATACTAGCCCCCGAATCTGCGGCATCGAATCAAGGTGAGACTCGGAAGGGGCTCGGAAAAACCGGGCGACGAGTCGGGGAAATCGAGACGCGGGTGTGGAGCTGCCAGATCGTGGGATTTCTGCATTGTGATTCACGCGGTGAAGGACGCCGTCACTCTACGTGAATATTAAGACCGGATACTTCTGTGTGAAGCATTAGAGAACCTTATTTCCATCAGGATGGAAATGAAGGACTCTGATTGACCGATTCTCTCATGCCCTTTGCATTATGCAGAAATCTATGCTCCGGCCCGAAAAGTCTATCCAGACAGACTCGCATAATCGCGTATTGCATATGCATATAAGGGAACCAATCGATCCGTGCTAAAAAGGATGTCTTCCATTTCGGACACACGATTGCTCAGTTTCCTCCTGCATATGCATTATGCAGCTATGCAAGTTCGCCTGGACGAGCTTTTAAGCCTGCGGCACGCGATACTCGTTTCTGCGCTGGATCGCCCGCGTATCGGAAATACCGCGTCTCTAGAAATCGCTCTAGAATCACGATCCGGGAGTCCCGACAGCTCTGTACGGTGGGCAGGGACGAACCTTGCTTCATGAGGCGAGCTCCTGCGCTGTGCGTAGACGTGACGCTATCCCCTCTCGACAGCATGCCCTTGGTGTATCCGCCGAAGCTGAAGGACTTGGAGACGGAAGGGCGCAGCACCGCGCCGCGGAACGAGTCCCTCCCGTCGAAGGATTCGCCCTTCAGCAACCGGTTTTGCCTGGAGACGTGTTACGGCGTACTGTTAGCGCGACCAACAACCGGCTCGCACTACGACGTGAACGGTAGACACGCACATGTGATCCCGGAAAATGAAAATCCCGAAATGCGAAAAGCGGGATGACATCCCCGAAAACAAGTCACGGAAACACCGAACAGCGGATTTTCTCCCGAAATATCGCGAGAGAACGAAGAAGTTGTCTCTCGCGAAATAACTCACTTCGCAAGATGCGAAATCCGGAATATTTCGGGAGATCGCGCGGGATAATCAATCTTCGAGACGTTGTCCCACCTTTTTCCCGGCATTTCGGTATTTTTCTCATTTTCCCCGGGAATGTGCGCGTCCACACCAACCCGTGAGCCAACATTCTAACAACATCGGAGCGATTTCTAACGTCGGAACGGCCGCTGCCAACAGTGCATGCTGACGGCAGTCGACATCGAGGGGGGAATCGAAACAGGTGAAAATTGTGCGTTATTACGCGCGATAGTGAAGACGATTACGAAGGCGGACGCGAAAGTCGCTTTACCTAATTAAGTGATCCGAAGGGTGTAGCAAGCGATACCTTGCCGACGCGTCCGAACTTTCCGACGAGGACCACGGCCAAGAGGTGACCTCGCTGCTCTCGCCGCTGCTGTCCTTGAATATCCTCCGTCTGGCGCGCTCGTACTCCTCCTCGCGTTCCTCGAAGCTCTTGCTCCGCCGGCAATAGTCGCCCGACATCCGGTCCGGCGATTTGAAGTTGAAGCTGTCCTCGAACGAGCTCGAGTCCCGCTTCAGAATGCTCCGCCGCGGCTCCTCCGACAGGATCAGGTCGTCCCTGATGTGCTCCTTGAAACGAGTGTCCGGTATCCGCATGTTCTTCGTCCTGGTCACGATGACACTCAGACCCGACTGGTCCACGTTGTGCTCCATGCCGAAGTAAGCCGCCACGCGATGAACCAGCATCCTGTTGTACGACGACATGTTCGGGAATTTGTGGGACACCTTCTGCCGGTCCTTCGCGAACTCGATCAGATCCTTCTCGATCTTCAACAGCACCGTGCGGTCCTTCTGATTGCGGTTTATCGTCTCCGCGATGAACTGCTCCAGATCTATCCCGGTGCTGTCCGTGTACAGCTCCGTGCTGCTGTCTGCAATGCACACGTCGGCGCGATTAACACCACCTAAGGGACGCGCTTCTACTTCTTCTTCATCGAGCCTGAAATCTCCCGACTGACTCGTTATTTTATTTCAACGTTTCTCCGGCCGGCGGGATATTTATCTCGATAAAAAATCGAGCGATGTCGGAGAGTGGCTCGGAAAGTGGCCGGGAAATAAACGGACCGATCCTCTGGTTAAAAATGTTTGTGAAATAATGACGGCTTTCAACGGGCTCTCCGATGAAACTAATCGAGATTAATGGGTTGACTTTGCCGTGTTCATTCGCGTCGATTGCCCGAACGCCCGGATTGCCCGAAGTTACGGTAAATGAATGTAATTCGAGACGCATATATATCATCCCTCATTTCATTTCACATCGGCTTCCCGTTGGGCGTGCAATTAACTTTCCCAAATGCAATCAATCAAACTTCATACGTAATTCAACGTGAGGCGCTGATATCGCAGTACGGATCACCGGAGACCGGCGTTCAACGTGTCAATGAGGAACGCGCGAAGAATCGAAGAGAACTTTCTCAGCCGCTGATAAAAAATGCTCGATCGTTTCCGACGTTTCGAACGGACGTGAATTTTTCCGAACGAATTTCTCTTGGGAAAGAAACCGATAAATCCGTGAAGAAAACAAGAACGGGGTTCTTCCGAGCCTTCGAACCTATAGACACAGCCGGTATTTATTTATTCGCACGAGATGAAAATACGAGGGAGAAAAATCGGCAGAAGATACATAAGATCAAGCATTTCTCTGCACGAGATATCGTTCGGGCGATCACGTACCGCGTGAGAGGCATGGCGACGCGCTGTCGTAGCTACCCTGAGAGGAGTTCTGGTGTCTCAGCTTGTGCCTGGAGGCCGGCCTGCTCACCGAGAGCGTGTTGCCGCACTGCGCCGAGCACTGGTTGTTACAGATGTTCAAGGTGTTCGGCCTGCGTTGCTCGGACTTGTGCTGATTGTTCTGCGCGTTCGGCGCCAGATTCGTGCTCTTCGGCGAGTGCTGCAGCGCCTGGCCGGACTTGGACGGCGACACCGGGGTCTGCAGCAGGCCCGGCCGGTCGCTCTGATTGTTCTTCACGCAGTTATTGCATTTCTGGATGATATTCGTGCCCGTGATCTTCGAGCGGTGGTTCTCCAACTTATTGCCGTTGGTCGGAGAAGTGATGTTCTTTGGTGAGTGTACCTGAGAGGGACTAGATTGACCTGCGGAAAGAGAAAGCGGACGGTACGCGATTACCGACGCGAGTCTCCGACGCTCCGCCGATCTTGCGATCTTGCATGTGTGCGAATGAGAGACCGAGGGAAAACAGATAGATAGATAGATGGTTTAATCAATCTCGGGACTAATAATTCTTCAGGCATACAAGAAGGAATACAAGACGCAATTGGTAGTGTATAAAGCGCCACTGTGGTGACGAAAGTGCTGAAAAGAATGAAAATTGAGATCCCAGGTAACATTAGAATGTCCTAAGATGCCGTAGATATCTTTCAGATAAAACGTCTTTGCGGACGTCTTTGAGTCATCTTTTCGACATATGTGTTGTTTGATACAACGTTAAATGCTCTCAACATAGGCGAAGAAGAGCTATAAGTACTCATTTGCACAGCAAGTCAGGACCTGAAACAAGTGTAGTAAGCTCTTTTGTTCTAAGCAATAAAATGTAACATAATTTCCCTGATAAAAGGCATTTCCTGCGCTGCCAAAAGTCGCAATAACGTCTAAATCTTGGGAATTGCGACGTCTGCTAACTAAACTAAATACTAACTAATAGTAACATCACAACAATATTATAATTTCTCACTCAAAAATGTAATATACAAACTATTATATACAACGCAAGTTACATTGTATTTAAATTGTTGACTGACAAGTTATAACAATTGATATAATGTTACTGGCTACGTTCACACGGTAACGTTAATCTGGTTTAATAACAACCGTAATTAGTGAACTCTGATATCCTATTGGTATACTCTTTCAGATCTCAAAATATATCCCAATCAAATGCTGGAGTTCACCAACTACGGTTGTGTTACTAAACCGGATTAGCATTGCCGTGTAAACGTAGCCACTGTTAGTTGGTGCTCACCGGGTAATATTTCGAACGCTAGAAATCTGCTAGAAATTACGTTACAATTTACCGCTTAGAGCAAAAGGTTAAAGGCTTTCTACGCCTATAGTGGATCCGGGCTAAGCACGAGTAGAGAGATTTGGATATTACGCGAATCATGAAGTTGATTATATGAAATAATAAATAGACGGCAGACAAACAGAACCGACAGAGTGCAGAGACACGACGAAGACACGACGAAAGAGGCGGATAAATGATCGAGAGGATCGAGAAGGGAACGGGAAGGGAGGGAAGCTCTGATGAAGAGCTTACCATTTCGCGACGGTGCCCGGCAGGTCGGCGAGGTCGCCGTGTTGCGCATCTGCTTGGGGGATTGAGCGGGACAGAGGTTGCTGTTGAACATCGACTCGTTGTTGTTGAGTTTGGCGCCGGTGGGATTCGGCGAGAGGCTGCACACTATCTTCTTCTCGCCGTCCGCCGACTGCGGACTGTGCGGCGACGGTGGACCGTTGTGCGGCTCCCGCGGGGGAGACGTCGACTCTCTCATGGCATGGCTTCTGACCAGCAACTTCAGTTTCGTGTTTGTCTGCAAGCAGCCAGGAGGATTCTTAACTTCGTCGCTTCGCGATCGACTACGACGACGGCGTGTCCGTCACACACAGACGCCTCTTCACACGTACGCGTAATGTGTGTGTACACACACGCTCGAGTATCGATTGCCGAGTTACAAATACGTTAAACTCCCGTGTTTATTATTCAATATCGTATCGCCGTGGACTCTCGAAGGACGTGGATATAAAAAAAAAAAAAAAAGGAGAGAGAGAACCGTACGTGATCCCCGACTTTTGATATTTCTCCTTGGCCTCTACCGTCGCGAACTTAACGGCGGCCCGATAACTCGGCATTCTCTCTCACTGAAAGATTCAAGACACGCTTCCACGGGACTTCTTCTCCTCCGAGAAAGCAAAAGGGAGAAGGAGACGCGTCTCGAAGCGTCCTTCCAGAGAGCGAGAAGCCGAGCGAGAGAAGAACCCGACGAGTTGACAAACACGATCCGCCGGGCGACCCGGCGCAACAATCGACAACTACGACTACGGGGGACGCGTACACACACCCGGTTGCGAAAGTTCTTGCTCTCGGTGTCCGATTTGTCGGGCGGGCAGGAAGGCGCGGGATGATGGAGCGAGTTCGATGCGGGGGCGGTGCCGACGTTGGGGTTGGCATTCCCGTCTATCATATCCGACTCCGAGGCGTTCTGGTGAGGTGCACCGGAGCCACTTACGGCGAGGCCTTGCCTGGAGGATGGCAGTGAGGGCATTCCTCCTCGCACCACCACCGTAGGACTCCCAGGTCGGTCCTGCGACCTGCTTCCTTTATACACCACTATGCTCGGTACTGAAATCAGCGAATGTGCCAGCGATTAAATTACTCCCCCTTCCCCCGCGTCCGTTCGAGGAGAGACCCTCTTTTACCGCGGAAATTGAAACGGGTATAGACGCGCTTCAGGCGTCAGAGAATCCCTCCCCCCCCGACGTCTTTGTACGTCGAATATACGTCACCTTACTCACGGCTCTCATGGATCTTGCGATCTTACGGTGTCGCGTACAGCGACGTAATTACGGTGTTAGTCGCTGCTCAACGGAAGAAACACGGGAGAAATGGATCAGTAAGCCGGAATATTAACGGAAGACTACGAGAGAGAGAGAGAGAGAGCATCTGGGCGAGCGGTCGCCGCCGACAACGATTCCAGGAATTGATCAACACACGCGGTGAAACGCAACAACGGACGAATCTCTCTCTTTCTCCACGGGCATCGACCACTGTCTCGCGTCGGCAAACAATCCGCCTCGTCGCGCCGTAAACCCCAAGGAGCTTGAGTTTGTTTCCGGTACGTTTACGCGATCCGACGATCGTTTCGTTCCTCGTGTGCGTGTGTATTATATATGTGTACGTGTGCGGTAATCACGGTGTCGCAAGCGGACGAGATACACGAAGGAGAGAGAGAGAGAGGGGAAAGGGGAGAGATAGACGCAACCATTGCTGAATTGTGAAAGAGAAAAACACTTACTCTCTAGGCGGGCCATGTGTTAAAGGCGTCATGGGGTTACGGTGCAGTACCCTGCAACTGGTGGGTTCAAACACAGGTGCAACTAGGTTAGTACGTGAATCGTTCGGGTGGCGTGCAGCTCGAAGGGCTGATACTAGGAGCCAGATCACTGCACGTCCACCTTCCAACATCGTACACTCTGTAAACAGACACAACACGCTCGTGACGTTCTCTTTCTCTCGGGCGAAACGAAACGTTTGAGAGAGACATACGCGCTACACACACGTACACGCACGCACGCACACACGCTCCACGGGTCGCAGCATTACGCATTTCGGCCTCGCGAACGGGAATTGGGAAATCTCGCTCGCATCGATGATCGATGAGCGACTGTCTCCGATTGCTCTCGTGATCGCGTAGCGAACTCGCGAAATTCGATCTCATCGCGAGGACGATGCTGAAGATTTTTCGTTCTGATTCGATTGAATTTGTATCGATGCATTAGTTGAATGCTCAATACACGACTAAAAATCTACGAAGAATATTATAATATTCTTGTTTATGCATGAGAATATCTATTCTTGATTTGAGACCACCTTTTTTCCATATATGGGCATGAATGATACAAGCACGCTTTCGGAACTAAACAACAAGAATATAAGTATAGAACTATATTTTACAAATTTAACGGCGGCTCAGGAAAAACGTGACTACGGTGACTCATATTGGGCAATGATGAATTTTTTACTGATCTGTCAAAAAAGTGACAAAAGGTGAATTAAGTGGCTGGATGGCAGCGCTGGTAAAATCAATGAATGAGTGATTTCATTTCTGTACTTTCAGCGCCTATAATTCCTATGTTAATAATAAAAAAGTGACGGTACTGATCTTAAATTGAGAAATAAACAGACCGGCTCTCCGAATAAAAATATGAGCGAAATAATTACGGCCTCTGACGGGCCGAGCAGTTTCGAGAATCGTCACTGTTAATAACGAGTTTCACCGGAAAACTGACCGAGGTAGATGATTTTCGCGCCAATTGGAAAAGAAGAAGCGACGACGATCTCGTTTTATCGCATCGCGCGCGAAATGTCCGGATAATTTGCAAAAGTAAACGGGAAGCTATGAATCACACGAGCTTCTGTAGGTCAGCGTTACACCATGAGTCATTTGTCCGCGCCGGCCGTGCTCCGTCGGATTATTAAATGATAGAGTCGCTTTACAGGCGCGCGCACGATAATGCGCGGTGGATTGGAAAATATTATCGTCGCGGCGGCGTTATTACGCGCGACAAGTGTTATTCGCGATAACTCGTTGCGGTTTCGTCCTAACGTATTTTGTTATTAATCGCTCCGTGAAAAAGGAGACTACGCACACAAGCACGCACGCATACGGGACGACGACGAAGAATAAATTTCGCATCGGGTGAAATTAACTCTTATTAACGCGCGATGCTTTCGCCGCGCGCGCGCGGATTCAATAATTTGACCGAACGTAAATATTCCAACATCGCGGAAATTGGCCGGCCTCGTCAATGAGTAACAATTGCGCCAAATGTATACGACCGTGCACGCGTCTCTCGAACATAATGAACACGTTAATAACACGAATGGATGATATATAGAGGGTATGCGAGGAACATTGGCACGCTTTCGCTGCACCAAATGAAGTTATGTTCCGCGCTGTATTATCCGACGGCGATGACGTCCGATTCGTAAGTTAATCAACATGCAGTGCTTCACGGACAAGCGTTATCTACACGGTAAAAGAAAAGATTTTGTACTTGGGCTACAATCGATCCTTTTTCAATTTTTGCGTTTAATATCTAACACACCCGTATGTTAATTCAACACATTGTGTCTATGTTATCTCAATATTTTGTGTCGATATTCAACACGTGCTAGTGTTGAAACAATTACATTTTGTACTTCAGTGTCGATTAACGCATTAATTTTGCATTTGTTTTTGACATAATGTTTGCATTATTCTTCAACGTATTCACTTTGTGTTAAATTAACATCTTGAGCGGACTTTGTGAAATATTTGGGACGTGTGAAATACGATCAATTTAAACACAAAAAATCTTTTATTGCACGATAAAAAATTCTGACATTAAAAACGGTCCACTGAAATTTCGTGTTATTTTAATATGACAAAAAAAAAAGGTTAAAAATGCAGAAATACAATATTAAATTAATAAATTCACCTTGTCAATATACGTTGCCAAGATGAATGCCTTAACGTCGTATTTGTGTACTTTTTAATACATATTTGTGCAATTTATAACATATTCTCCATGTTAAAATAAAGTTGAACCGTTTTTCAAGAAAAAAATTTTTTACTGTGTACATAAGGCTAACCGGAAATCCTCTAATTCCAGAAGGGCCAATTAGCCTTCCAGTTAATCTCGAGCAACGTTCACGCGAGAATGGAATTTCGACCGACGTTAAATCGCGAAACGAAAAGTCGGCGATAGTCTTGAGCGGCTCACAGGTGATAAAGTCGTGGTCGACGAAGGGGGGGGGACGGGGATCGATTCTTCGCGAACTTTTCAACGAACCTCCGATTAAGCTCGGTGATATCCATGATCGCGGCTAATTGCGAAACCGTGCGGATCATCGCGGTTAAATTTACACCGGAAACGCGAGTGCGGCGCGACTTCGGGCCGACTGCGGGCGCCGCGTTGTGCTCTTCTTCTTCTTCCTCTCGCTGGCTTCTGCCGCATTCCACCGGCGACGGATAAATTTATCCTCCATTCTCGGCGGCGGCGACGCGATCGTCGGCCGTTCTCGATCGTCGATCAGCCGCTCGCATTTTCCTCTCTCTTTCTCTCTTCTCCTTTTCTCTTCCGCCGCGCGCGGACGCCTCGCGTTTTTAGCGCGCGCGACGCGCTCGCTCGATCCTCCTCCGCCTCCTGGCCCTCTCTCAAAGGCTCGCTTTTCTCCGGATATTCCTTATTTTTCTCTCTTTACCACCTCTCGACGTCCTTGCCGTCCGAGGAACCTCGACGTGCCTCGTGCGTACTCAATGGCTATCGATCGCCGCCACGCACATCGTTCATCTATTCCCGCCACCCTCCGCGAGTCAACCTCATTCAAGCAAACTTTTACTCACTCACCCACTCACTCACTCACTCACTCACTCACTCACTCTCTATCTATCTATCTCTTTCTCGAGTCGATCTCACGTTTCGATTCTCCCTCTCGATAGCATTCCTTTGCGCGAGAGGCATGCAACACCCGGGTGAGCCGTCGAGAAGAGCGGCGAAATCCTCCTCACTGTCGAACTGACCGAATTCTTCTTTCTCGTTGATTCCCCTCCTCCTCCTCTTCCCCGGCGTGTCCGCCTTATCTATCTTCGCAAGAACTAAAGTCGCACGTATCGGCCGAGTGCGTTTTACAAGCAATAAACCTCGCGCGGAAGGCGATTCCGCGAGGCCGACGTGCGCGCGATCCGCGAGATGGATTTCTCCTCTCCTTCTTCGTCGAGCTATCGTGGCTATCACGGCCGGGGGGAACTCTGGGGACTCGTTTCGCGCTCGTAAAAGCACTCGCTCGTCGCGTAATACCGCCGTCGGCGATACGGCCGCCTTTTTTGCCCCGCACGTGAAATAACGGAACGAACACCGAACCCCGCGGGGAAAGCGGGAAAAAACACACTGTGAAGAAGACTCTCTCTCTCTCTCTCTCTTTCTTTCTTTCTTTCTTTCTTTCTTTCTTTCTTTCTCTGTCAACCAGGACCGCCGTTTCCGCGGGATTACGGCCGGCGATCTTCGAGGAGACGATCGAACGTCGCCGAGCTCTGACGGCGACCCATCGGCCGTCGAGTCATCTTTCCGCGACGAACTTCTCCTTCTGCCTCAGGAGGGATCGATTGATTAATTTCGGGAGCGACCGGATAATTAAGTCTCTCTCTCTCTCTCTCTCTATCGATTTTTTGCTCCCGAGACACACGATAGTCCAGGTTCGAACGACGCCGGACACCGAGTTCACTCTCGCGTTTCCAGGTGTATCAAAACATCGTCTCGTTCCTCGTGGTCACGCCATGTCGCGGTATATCTCGGGCAGATGCAGCTGATGCACCTCGGTCTCCGTCGCCTCGTGGCCGTCGGAGGCCGCGATGGGATCGCGCGGAAACGCCGATCGCCGCCGCGGCGACCTTCCGGACACGCTGTCGACCGTTGCTTTTTCTCGAGTCGAGAAGCCGAGGAGAGGCAGACGCGCTTTGGCAAGGCGTCCGTGCGGCGTCTCGAAAATAGCAGAACTACTCTTCTTTCTCTCTCTCTCTCCCTCGGTCTCCCTCTTTCTCTGGTTCGCTTTTTCTCTCTTTCTCGCTCCTACCGAACACGTTCCTAAGGGAATCGTGCGCGGTAATAATCTGGTTACGCCGCGATTTTCCCTTCTTCTCTGCACCACGTTCGTCGGCACGTAGAAGGAGAGGGAAGAACGCGATCTCTCACCGAGGGCTGCCGCGGAGAGTGGAAGTGAGCGCAAACGGAGATGCGGAAGATGCGTGTGCGCATGAATGAATGAGTGAGTGCGTGCGTGCGTGCGTGCGAGCGAGCGACGCGGGGATTTTCTCACGATGCGAGGAAAACCTGGACCAGCCGCAATCTACCGTGTGTAACGTCACGTCGCCGCGGGACCGCTTTACGCGAGAGACTGAGAGAGAGGCGCGCGCGGCTCACCCGGGTCGAGGAGGAGCGGCGAGAGGGTTGGTGGGTGGTCGGTTCGGAGGGAAAGAGAACGTCGCAAAGTCAGCAAGAGAGGGGGAGGAAGGAGGGACGAGGCAAGTAACGAGCGAGCGAGAAGGAGAGAGAACGAGAATGAGAGAGAGAGAGAGAGAGAGATAGAGATGGAGAGAGAGCGAGAGAGATCGCGACGGGAGCGATAGAAATAGAGAGATCAGATAACGGTAGGAGGGACGAGAGGGTTATCGTAGGCAGGAAGGGGGGGGGGGGCAAATACAGAGACATCACTATCGCCTCGAGGAGTAACGGAAGAAGATACGAAGGCAATCCGGGGAAGATGGAGCGATTAGAAGGAGACGGCGAATCGTACAGTGACGGAGGACGGAGACAGGTGATAACGGGCAAGGGAAGGAGGAAGAGAGAGAGAGAGAGAGAGAGATAAGAACGGAGGGCAAAGGTAAAAGTGAACAAGGGAAGAGGAGAAGGAAGATGGGAGGGTGAAAGGGACACAGAGGGGATGTACGCCGAGTGCACGCGTGCGCGTGTCCCGTGTGCACTCGGTGTAGAGAAATCCTGCTGTCCGCGGAACCGTGTCGACCCGGGGGTAAATTTCGACCCTCTCGACATATCTCGGCCGAATGTAAATGTCCGGCCTGCTTATAGCCGCTTGGACGCGCAAATTTGTCCATTCGTTATGCTGACCAGAATGAAGCACTCTCTCTCTTTCTCTTTCTCGTCTCTCGACCGAGGTGAGACGGGGGTGATTTTCCAGCTGATTTTGCGGCGGAAGAATGCGTTTGTCGACGCGATTCGACGGGTCGATCGGACTAATCGGGCGTGATGAATCATTCCTGATGCCAAGGGAACACTCCGGGAACCCGTCGACCAACATTAAGTGTCGAACGCTACTCTCTTTTCTCTCTCTCTCTTTCTCTCTTTCTCTCGCTATCATCCTGCCCGACGATACGCGTCGTCTATCGATGGATTTTCTACCTGGACGAGAGACAGACGTCACACCGTCGTCGCTCCCTTTCCTCCTCCTCCTTCGTCGTAAGAGGGCAAGGGGGAGACACAACCGTGAGATAGTTTCCGCATGAAAAAAGACGAGCGTCTCGCGTGCCGATGATCAAAGCCGAGAGATCGCGCAGCGACCGTGCTGAATTTCGCAAACGTTCCCCAAGTCCTTCCTCGACGGAATAACCTAACGATATCCGGGGGAAAGAGAAATGTGCGACGACGAAGTGCGCGAACTACCCGAGCCCCGCTCTCGGTCATTCGAAAAGCGAGACATCTCTCGAAGCGGCCTCTCTTGATCGTTAATTCGCGTTAACGGCGAAAGCGCGGCTGACAACGCGTTGGAGGTGACCTTCTTCTTCGCCCCATATTCACGAGTCTTCGCTCCCGCGCGAACACACCGGGGGTGCAGTCGGCACGCGCGCGAGCGTGCGCGGAGGGGTGAGCGCGCACGAGTAACCGAGTGCGAATGGTGTCTATGACCCATATAACACGCCCAAGCGTAACTAGGTCGTGCACCTCTCTCTCTCTCTCTGTATTCCCTGGAATAATACAGGGTGTCCTGCACGAAAAAATACGCCGGATATATCGATTCGGCCGAGAGAAGAGCGCGACGACGAGTGGGAGAACGCGAGTGTTGTTAGCATCGCATCATCGTCTTCCCGTCGTACGCGGAAAAGATAAGCCCTCACGACCAAAACCCTCACAGCTAAAGGCTGCACCGAGGAAAAAAAGCATTCGGGAATTTATTTATAGGATGTAAGGTTTTTATTTCACGGAAATAAACTTTATTTCCGCGAAATAAACCTTATATCCCACTAGTGAATTTTTAAGAACTTCCTTCTCGGCGTAGTTTCTACGAGTAAGTATTAACTCTCCGTATGATACGACTGAAACTTGATTAACCCTCACATAACAAGATTGACCAGATTCGATCGGATTGATATTCTAACGCGAACGCGCTTGCAAAGCGTTGTATTTTACATATTTCGCGATATATTTTATTTACAAAATTTCAAATATTTTCCAACTTATTGTGAGAATAAAAAGTGATTAGAGTCGAAGAAATTACTCGAAATTCGGCAAAATGCTTCTACGGCTCGGATTCGACCCATACGAACCGCGTCATCCGAGGGTTAATTCAATCGACCTTTTTCGACTCTGTGCTTAATTTTTAGCTCCCACGGCTAAAAACTAGATCTGGTAACTAAATTTCAGTTATATCACACGACCAGCTAATTCCTTTCTTCCGTGCGGGAAGAAAATCTATCTTCATTCCCGCCCCGAGCGGCAATAAGAAAGGTATGAGACAATGTCAACACACGGACGACCCTTGAAAAGAGGTCGATCGGGGAGGAGGGGGGCTTCCTCTTTGGCGAAGCTCCGGATCGCCGCACTATCGACGGCCACCAGGCAAGGTGGCGCGTAAGTAGTATCGAATCGGATATAAGCGATTGATTTTATCAGGATTCGAGAAACGCGCTGCGGCAGTACGCGAAGCGAGCAAGCGAGCGAGTTTACCGGCAGAACCTCCCAGTTTTTCCTCCCCCCCCCCTCGCAAATATTTCCCCCGCGACCCTAAAAACACTACGCTTCCCCGGTGATATAAATCGATCTCGGGCGAGATACCGCGACGCGAGAGCAATGGGGGAGCGAGGGAGGAAGCAGGTCGACGTGATTCCCCGTCCGTCCGTCCATCCGTCGCAGGAGGCGAAGTCCGTGATTAATTAGATATCGGATAATTCTCCGCCGTCGCGGATTATTAGCCGGCGGCGGCGTCGGCGATAACGTCGCGCTCGCTGGAGACAATCGACTTTGAACTCGCTGGAAGCCGGTCGTGGGGTTCTCACAGCGAGGGAAACTGACACGAAGCTCTCTCTCTCTCTCTCTCTCTCTCTTGTTCTCTCCCTCGCTGAGACGGCACGTCAGGCAATCGCGACGGGGGGCGCGAAACGTTCGGAACCTGGAAGAGCATCGTGATCGCTCGCCTCCCCGGTCTCTACCGTCGATCACATCGTCGCCTTGAATACACAGCTGAGCGTAATCAATCGCGATAATGGAACATCATCGCCGCGAACACCGGCGTAGCCGTCGCGTCGCCATCGACCGCATTCCGACTCGACGACGAGAGCGTCACACCACGGCGGCAGTGGATTCGCCAAGCCGAACGTTCGGTCGCCGCCACCTAATTCCGAGCTCTAACCCAATTTCCGCGGGAGGGATGACCTAGGCGCATACGGGAAGCAGGGGCGCGCGTAGGTAGGTAGGTAGGTAGGTAGATAGGTAGGTAGGTAGGTAGGTAACATGGTGCGCGCGACAGGATATTCCGCAGGAGGCGGAGGATACATCTGAGAGAGGGAGAGAGGTTAGAGGCCGCTGTCGGGGGAGGGTGAGAGCGAGGGTGCCGTTCAGTTTCAGCGATACGTGCCAGTCCGATGCACCCCTTGTCGCCATGGAAACGACCTACTCTCCCTGGACGGACGCACATCGCGGGCACCTCGCGCGCGAGTTTAACATTCGAATAAGGATATCCGGGAGCTCTTTGAACCCTGCTTGCCTCTCCCTCTCTCACTCTCTTCCTCAGGCAATAACGGATTCCACGGGAGGGAGGGAGGGAGGGAGGGAGAGAGAGAGAGAGAGAGAGCTGTATCGAATTCGATGTGTTTAGTCAACGAGCACTTGATAGCTGGGTAAATGCGAGTGACATTTCGATATTCTTCCTCTCTCGCGCGCGGCTGGCCGCGTCACGAAGCCAAGAGGGCTCCGACACGCGATCGGAAGTCATCTCTCGCGTTTCGATCCTTGCAATGCGCAGCGATGTATCCCGAGAGATTGTACGTTAGCCTCTCTCTTTCTCTCTCTCTCCCTCCCTTCGTCCCTTGTCTATACAGATATTTCCCGATATCGGATGAACGGGATGAGCGAACGAGCGCGAATTACATAAGATGTATATCGTATTTTAGGAGGAACACTGGCGCGCGCGCGCGCTCGCTAAGAATCGCTATTGTTTGTTTTGCAACGGTCATCTGAAGCGACAACTGTCTCGGCATTGTCTGCCGAACGATACGCGGTATATACCACGTCGCGGGATGTCGTCACGAATGGCATCGGACGGGGATGAGGCATCAGACGAGACGAGACGTACGGTCTGCTTTCGTTCCAATTTGCGGCGCTCGCGCGCTAACGTCTCGGGATATCGCTGGTCTCTGAAGCGTTGCAGAATCCGACAGCACGATCGTGACACGCTGCTGCTGTACGCGCGCTTTGATTCACAGTTGTCCAATTAGAGTGACACACTGTCAAGCACATTCCCGTCGCACGCTCTCTCTCTCTCCGTTATTTAATATACATCGGGCGTATGCGCGAAAGACCGAAAACATGGTCACACACGCGTCCGCGAACCGCCGTCGTCGCCTGTCACCAGGAACTCTCGAAAAGCCGAGCGTTGAGAGTGAGAGAGAAGAGAGAGAGAAGAGAGAGAGAGAGAGAGGGGAGAGAGAAAGTAAATAATTCAAGTTTACGTGAGATGCATTCGCGAAGGAACACGAAATAAAAAGGAACACTAAATAAAAGAGGAAAAAATAAAGCGTCCTCGCAACGTTGCCTAATCAGTTCTATTCGGGTCGCCCGTTATAGCGGGTGGCCTGAGTGCCGAAGGTTGCTGAACCCGATGACCCATATATCGGCAAATAGGTCAGAGAATAAACGACGAAGATAGACGGTGCTCTCATCCGCCGCGATCCCGAGACATCTCCCTCGCGTTCCTCAACGGGAACGAATTTCACGGGGATTCGCGTAAAGTTTTATAAAGGGAGCAAGAGAACGACCGATTCATCCTTCGTTCGCATCACGAATAATCGA